TGGTTTAGAAGATTGTTCACAATAGTTTTGAAATGTTGCTATAATATTGTTCAAACTACATTGTAAATTTATGTTTATACAATGTTTCTACAATATTGCACTGCTGTGTATGATATTGCAACGTTACTGTAACGTAGTTGCAAATTTCTGTGCTGTATGGGCGTACGTGTATATAGTACCTTGGTAAAGTTACTCTTAAAAACCTAAACTCTTTTTTTAATATCCTGTATAACATCTCAAGTAGTAAGATGACAAATGATATCTTAATAATATTTCGAACATCTTAATGACATTTCTAATGTAAATAAGACGATTGAAACGTCATTTGACGTCAATCATTATCTCTTATCTTGATTGTTGTATTCTTTGTATTGTTGTATTCATTATCTTTGCTATTTGCATGTGATATATTGCAGCAATGCAATTAGAATATTTCAAAGAGAAAGTGGGAGTGAAAAAGGAAAGAATTAACTGAAATTTTGGAGATTTGAAGTTGAGAAATTGAGCTAAACAGACGTTGAACTTTTAACAGGTATTTATTGCAATTGGTTCTTAAAGACAGTTGCCTAGGATAGGCTATCGTAATAAAAGACGTGTAAGAAAAAAAACAAAACAAGTTAAAAATGAAAGTAAGAAAATAAATTTTTCAAATACGTGTAAAAATTTATATTTTTTCTTACAATTAGGTAGAGTTGCCAAGAGAGAAGTAAGAAAAGCAGTGGAGGCGCGCGCGTCAGCGCGCGCTGCGTGCTAGTTCCCTTATAAAAAAATCCGTGTGTACGTGTGAACTGCATTTTATACCGCTGGTATTGTTGCCGCTTTTCCGCGTGCGTCATTGGTTGTTTCGCTTGTGCAACACGACATGCTTCAGTCATGTTATTTGCAGTTATCAAACCATGCAAATTTTTAGGTAGAGCAAATAACGCGTGCGTAGCGCGCGCATGTGTTATCTGGTGTTTCTAAAAATACTGTAATACATATAACAGAATCAGTGCTTTTTAACTACGTTTTCTATAAATCTTTAGTAATATGTTGAATACGGTGAAATAGCTGCCCAGTATTTGCTATTTATAGGAACATAAGAAACATAAACTGTTCCGCTTCTGTAAAAAAAATGTTAAACGTGAATATTTTGTTACTACTAAATTTTGTTAAAAAAATTGTTAGTCCGATTATTTATGCTAAATAATTAAATAAAATGCTACGCATCATCTTACATGTTTGCAGCTGTATATCCAATACCGATCGGCTCAGTGCAATCAGTGAAGAAAATATATTGCACAAAAGAACATTTTTTTACATCAAATGTGGAACTGTTATATTTTGATTCTGCATATATCTCGACTGATGTTTGATGACTACAGACATCTAGTAGCAACATAACAGAAACATAATTAGAACAAAATATTTTTGAAGTAACTCTTGGTAATTTTACATTAAGCACTTGATATTTATTTAAAAATAATTCTGTATATAATTATTCAACACACATTCGCAAGCTAGTAAAAATAACTATTTTTATTAAACTAGTCGAAAGACAATTTTTCACTTTTTAATTTAATTAGAATTAAAATTATTTTGATTTTATTAATAATTACTTTTAACGTGTTAAGCGATACATATGAGTATTTAATAAATATTTAACGATAAATTATTTGCTGGAATTAAGTTATGTTTCAAAGTTTAATGCAATATTTAGTTGCATAGATCATTATTTACCAGTAGGGCTTAATGGTAGGCCAACTAATTCGCAACCGGGTTGAGGGCGAATTCCATGATTCACTACATAGTCGGCTGTCCCCATAGTCCATGGGATACCATATCCACCCATATCCGTATGGATAACATCGATCCACATGGCATCGTCAGACTTGAGGTAACATCCGATAGGATAAATAATAGGATTCGCTGGATCCAGTGCTACAAACGAGAATTTGACATTAAGGAACGTTATCAATAATTCGTGAATTATATGCACCTTAGAAAACTATAAGTTATAAATTTTTGTAGATTTCTTTTCTTAACGCGATAAATGAAGCTAAATAGAAAACATAAATTATGTTTAGCAAATCAGTTATTTAAAGTAACAAAGCAAATGAGAAATTAAAATGAGAAGTAAAAATTAATTTGTTAATCATAAAAATTCAACACGCGCATCTCTGAAAGATAATTGTATTATATACCTGTGATGCGAGGTACTTTGAAGCTGTTGCATTTACCCGCGAAGCCAGCAATATGAGTGCCCAAGGAGTGCGCAACGATATAAATTTTCGATATGTTCAGGCCTTTCTCCACAAGCAGTCGTATACTTTGTGCAAAAAGACTTCCTACTTTTTCAGCACGTTGAAAAACGATGGGGTAAGTCCCATTAGAGTACTTACTCCAATCGAGTAACACAATGTTGTCCGTTCTTTCGTAACATAGTGCTGATGATGTAAACGTATATCAATTCTCATTTTGATTATGTAATGGTCTATCAAAACGCTGTACCTTTCATCATTAACTGTACATTTGGGTTCTCCGGAAATTGCAAATACCCAAAAACATAAAAGATTGTCCGTTTATCTTCCAACACGTCGAGTAAATCGTTTGGCGCTGTGATAGGATAGGCGATTGTGTCGGGAGTTTCATTATTGCTGAGAAGCACGCATATGATTATTATTGCTAATTGTCATTTAGATACTTTACTGCAAAATACATACCATTTGTAATATGTTAGGTAGATTCCAGACGCGAAATCGGAATCCGGTATATCACCTGAAAAATAGCACGCACACGGTATGATGCACATTATTGACGTTTATAGAAATATCTAAAAAAACAATACTTACAAGAACACAACGATTGGCAATGCATTATCTTTGTCATAAAAAATAATAAAACGTATAGATGTACAACTGACGGCAACATTTTTAATGAAATCAACTGCGAAAAATACGTTTTTAATCTAGACCTCGACTGAATCAGAATCGAGTTGATGTGCCGTTTTAAAGAGCGGATTCAATGTATACATACGTGTCACCTGATAAAACATGAACAAACAAGTTGCGATATAAGCCGAATTATAACATTTCTGACATGAATTTCGACATTAACGCGACGCCACGTGCATATGTAATATATTTGATCTTTATATTATAAATTTGACTATAAAGTTTATATTTATACTTTTGACACAGTAATATTTAGATAAGATGACATGAGAAACTCATCGCTACTAAAAAAATGTGAAAAGATCAATACTAGATACTAAATAATTATTCTAAGTATAAAATAGAATATATTAAAAAGAGCATGGATTTAATACATAAATTACTGCTCTGTGCAAAAATTTGAGAAAATTATATTTTCAATTTTTTAACATTGACATATTTATTTAGTTACACCTTTTATACAGAATTAATATTTTTAAGACATTTTAACATAAATAATTTATGATTACGATAGTCGTAGCGATCAATCTTAAAATATTTGTATTATATTATTTAACTTTAATACAATATACAGAGTTTGAAAACATTTCTTTAAAGTATATACAGGGTGGGCCATTTTAATTTATACAGTCG